GGAATGGGTTCAGGTATTCAGTATGGAGATGTTGCTTTGAGACAGCTGAGATCACTACATAGCACAAGCACAAAGTGCTCAACAATGTGGGTGTTAAACAAAACACAAAATCCCAAATACTTTAGACACAGAAGGTAAGGTTACAAAAATCTCAGGTTGTTGGGTAAATTACCATATTTCATAAATGTGCTGTGTCAAGTGCTTGGCTTTTTCACAGTTAGCCTGTAAAGTAACATAGAATCTAGTGAAATAATGCACAGTAGAATGGATTATTGTTTTATACTTTGATTTTTCTTCTGCCACCTGCCCACTAAAGCAAGACTAGTGCTCTTACTGAACTATTTCTAGATCTTTGCTTACTCAGAGTAACGCTGTGGAAAACACTTTAGAATTCTGTATTCCTGGAATGCATTATAGCCCTAATAGTTATCTAATGCACTATAGAGAAGGTGAATTACTTCTGTTGTATTGTGGACAAATATTACTAGAATTGAGAATTCACAAAATATATGGTGCAATATCTTGTCCAAAGCTATTATATAGTCTTTTCTGAAAATACCAAGTTTAAAGACTGAGACTTGAAATTAAAGGTAATACTGGATTTCAAACTTCAACTGTTTACTTTTTTTCCTACATAAAAGCAGCTTAACGTTGTTCTGATTCCTGTCTGCTATGAGCAGAAATGTAAACAAGAGAATAGTAGTATTTGTTGTTTAAGCAGACCTAAAGTAGCTCTTCTAGGGCTGTTGCAGCCCATCGAACGATGCAGTCTCCTAAAAGTCTTCCAAAGACACTCTTCAGAGCAAGTGAGGAACAGATCTTTCCCTCTAGTAAAGTGGTAAGGGAAGAGACATAAGTCACGTGACCTAATCTGAAGAACAGCTTGGTGGTTAGTCTTTCTCAAACAGTTGTCCTTAAGACACCTCTCCATGGATTTTACTTAACTCTTTGTAGTATGTAAGTGGTTCATGGGGACAGCCCTTTCCCCCTGTGTAGTTAATTATTTTGTTATAATTAATCCTTATTTCTCTATTATGAGGACGGTGATATCAAATTAAACAAGTACTGCAGGCATAGTTACTGCATCACTTTTACTGTATTCATTTTTTTATCAATTTGAGCAGAAGCTTTACAGGATGTTAAATAAGGCAGCATACAAGTCTGCATTCTCATATATTGTTCTGTATCTGTATAGCTCCCAGTTAAAGCTCAGAATTTTAAATAATGGATAGGAATCCTCGAACTGCTTTCCTCCCTTACTTTCATCCTATAAAATATCATCCTTCAATAAGAGACTGCTGGAAAGGGCATTAATTTAGTTCGGCTTTGGTACAGCGTACAGGAGTGAATATTACTGATCTGATTTCAGGAATTGAGTTTTCACATTGATCAGATGTAGATAATTGATGGAGTTCTTGTGTATTTTACAGCTGTCCTTACAAATGGTGTTTGAAGAAATGGAAAAGCTTGAAGGCTATGCAGTTTTTAAAAATGTCTTTCCACTATCTACAAACAGAGCAAACCACTGCTGTCAGAAAGGTGGCCCGTGTGTGTGGGGCAGGAGTGTCCACATGACACACAAGCCTGCAAAGTGAACTTGATGATTTGGTGGACAATGTTAAGACTCATACCTGTATGTAAACATTTTCCATTACCTGTTTTTGTTCTTTCGCCTCTAGTTTAAAGCATTGCTATATACTGTAAATAATGTAACAGTAAATTTACAAAGCATGGTATACTTACGTATGCTGATAGAATGTTGCACTACAAGCAGTTTAATATTTTATTTTTTTATCATATAAACAAATTTAACGGAGGTAGGCTTTGTCATGTTTGTTTGCTGCACAATAGTTTATGACCTGAATTATAAAACCACTGGCACTGTCAGTGAAGGGTGGTTGGTTTATTTTTTTCCTACTTAGTTTGCCACATTCTAACAAGCTGTTGACATGACTGATTCTCAACATATGGTTAGGACCCATACTTACGTTTATTAATATGTCAAGCTGAAAAGGTAATTTTTATTGATGTTCACATATCCTGTTTTATCACAGTTCTTAAATAGCTTTTGAAGTTCTTTTATTAAACTTTATTAAGTCTGTCAAATGGCTGTTGACTTTTTTTTTTTTCCCCTTGGTCCTGATGTTTTGTGTAGCACTGGCATCATGAAGGTAGATTGTATATGTGAACAGAACTGTGCATTTTTGCGTATGTTGTAATTCTAGGGCAGGGGCACGGGCTTATGGAGAATTACCACAGTAGGAGCTCTCCTAACCTCCTACCACACCGAGCAATCAGCTGTGGAAATATTATCTCTGTTGAAGCCTACATAGTGAGGTACAAACTGAACCCAAAGGGTGATTCTAAAGTATCCTGAATGTATGAAATTTAAAATACTCATTTCTTTCTCTTAAAACTTTCATGAAGTACAATTAAGAACTTGAATTTTAAAATTAGACTTTAAAATTAGGAACTTAATAGGCTGTCTTGCTGGAGCTCTACCCTTGAATTTCATGGAAGTGCCCTATGTGTAATGCTGGCCACAGTGCTCCCAGGAGACTGATGTCATGGAAGGGAAAAAACAAGTGTACTACTTCAGTAGTTTGTTCTTCCTGTGAAACTCATCAAGGGAAGTTTTGGCCTTGGTACTGAGTTTTTTTTTTTTCCTGTGTTAAAACACACAATTCAGACTTTCTTTCCTGACCTCTTTTTTTATTGTGGGGAGGAGGCATGGGGCAAGAGATTAGGAAACCTGTTCTCATTCCTCAGCTGGAGACAGAAGAGGAGAAGACTTGCAGAGGGTCCAAGAGGGAGGACAGAACCGCAAGTATTGTGTATCATTTTTAGTGTGACATGACAACTGATCAGGTAAGAGACCCGTGGCTTTTCCTTTGTCAGGTAAGGAGCTGCAGCACTAAGCTCGTGTTTCTGGAAGTAGCTGAATTCAACCAGTTCAGGGGGGGCAATTTCATGTGCACTGATAGAAATCAGTAGTGACATTTTTACTTAGTTACTTGTATAACTAGAAATGGGATGTGTCCTTGAAAGTGCAAAATAATTAATTTGATCAGAATTCAGTATTGAAATTCCAAGGTTAAACATGCTTTATTATTTTCTGTATATGAGTCTTTTCTATTTAGGTGTTTCTTGTCAAATGAATGTTTAAAAACTAAACCAGAAAACTTAACTGATACTGTAATTTAGAGGGCAATTAAAGCACAAGAGTGAAGCAAGAATGCTACACAGAGGTATGCCACCTTTCATGGAGTTAGAATTGTGTTTAAAACTATTCCCTTTGTCCTGACATTTTTGGCTCAAATGGATGCTTACCTGAAAACTATATGCCTTAGATCATCTCTGAATTGAAAGGAATTAAGTTTGCTTTATACTTGAAAAGCCTAGGTTTAGTTCTAGAAAGGCTGTTGGGTCCAAAGACCTTTATGTTATGAGTCTCTCAAGTATCCTGTTATATTTAGGGTTGGATTTGTTACATAACTGATAACAATTACGCCCAAGGAGTATTCACTTGTATGGTAAGAGCGTAAGTATTTTTGAAGCAGCTTAACTGTGCATTTACAATAATGTCAAAGAACTCCAAAGAAACTTACCTGTCTTAATCCTTACTCAACTTGCTTTGGCTTCTAGTACTCAGAACATTACCAAAAGCAAGTACTCTGCAGTAGATGGTGGATGTAGTTGTTCTCCACCAGTCCAAAGGGCATATTATTAACTGGGATGTGTTGTGTTTCTGCCAGGGTTGGGGAGGCTTTTGGTTCTGAAACCCCAGATTGTGGAATGCTGTGAAAAGATGAGGTAGTGGGTAGGCTGTCCCTGCCCTTACCACAGTCATTAGACTGTGTTTCTTGGTACACAGACAAAAGTGAAAGCTGAGGATGTACTTACCAGCTGGGACATAGCACAAGTAAAGCTAAAGGTGTCCCCTGTCACTTAAAATGGTTGAAATGGTGTTGGCTGTTGGATCAAAACTTCTTTCCATAAGTATAGTGACAGTTGAAAGGAGCTGGGGGACTGTTACTTAACTCGGTTGCTTTTAAATAAAAATTTTAGGGGATTGATAGGGATTCATGTACTTCTTCCTGTCCTTTTCCCTTTATGTACAAGACTGGCCTCTTTTGTATACTCTGTTCTTATGTTCATTTTGGTCAACTGTCTGTGGTTAAGAAGCTGTAAGCACAGTTTTATTCTTTCTGTAACCATATTAAGCTATCCCCTTCCTACCTGGAACGAAAGAATAGCGTTGCTGTAATGTGTTTGGACATGTTTTTACCTTTTTTTTTTTTTTATTGTATACTCTCTGTATACACATTAACCAGGTTAATGTGCTTGTTTTGTAGAATCACAACCTTTTATGCTGCATATCTTACATTTAAAAACAAAAAACTTTCTAAAATGGCAACTCCTGAGGAGAATATTGTTGGAAGCAATAGCTCTCACCAGTGCAAACTATATTGTTTACTTTCTTCTCTGAGGGTTTTTTATTTCTAAAAATACCATGCCAATAGCAGCCCTGGAGTAGATTTTAAGCTTTAGCATTAGAGTTCACACAGCAAACCAAATCTAGCTCACCTAAACAGTAAATAAGTGATAAATAGGTTAAATTATGTATGTTTTCAGTGTAAAGTTCTTACTTTACCAAAGCAAGATGGCTTAGAGTTTTACATGAAATAATACCAGGTACCTATATCCTAGTGTAAGAAACTATGAACTAGGGTATTGTTTATTGAAATGTATGTTAAGCTCAATGTAAAGGTTAGGCGGCAAAAGACAGAAAACCGCTTATGCAAACAGCTGCCAGACACCTCTTGTGTGAGACAAGATAACCGCAATTGCTTACACAAACCAGATAGATACCGCTTGTGCAAGCAGAAGGGGTACTGATCAAAGACAACCACGGATGTAAAAATGTATAAAAAGGAACTGTTTGAACTGATCAGTGCGGCAGTTGGCGGAGCGCAGACTCCCCTGCCGTCCAGCGCTGTCTTTGCTCATATTCTACTTGCTATAATTAATAAAATTATAATTGGATTATGATCCATTGTGGTCTCAATTTATAACACAATCATCCAAGGGAATCAGTTGCATCAGCAACAAGCACGAGGTGGCTGGCACTTTGTATCTGGCTACGACTGCACTTAAAACAGTATGAAGTATCACAAAAGGTTCCGCATACACAGTAGCTTCTGGGCACATTTTTGCCTGTTCCCAGGCCAAAAACAGCAATATAGAAATCTTCTTCACAACAGCTATCTTTGCCCCAGCCTTGGGTCTACAGATGGGGTACTTGTGGGCAAACTTGCTATGAAAAAATTCACCTTTGATTGGACTCAGCACCGATGAGAAGCTTTCAGATGCTGTAAGCATCTCACCCCGGGAGGTATTAACAGGACATATTTGGAACAGAAGTTAAACACAACTGCTTATAGTAGCAGCTCCTTGACTCCTTGCTGATTCTCTGAATCCTGGAAACATTGTTAAAAGAACATACTTGCCTATTCCTGCAGCAATGACAGGCAACACCAAGTCATACGTATATAGCAAATAAGACAGCATCAAAAAGTCTACATAGCTTCGGTGACTGGGCAGTAGAACAACTGGATGCTCCTGAATGGCGTGTTGCAACTGAAAAAACAAAAACAAACAGCAAGAACAATATTGTTCCAATATTTACAGACTGACTGTTGAAATTTGCAAATACAGAACTTCACAGGGCTTAAGGCAAACAGAAGCTGATTTGTTCAGGGGTGGTTTCTCTGACCACATACTCCATACCTTTTTCAAAATGGAACCATAGGAAATTTGCAGCAGTTGTTTCCAGACTAGCAACTTGTGGTTCACAAGCATCACAGGACTCAAAAGCCAGGGCCACCCCATTACATGATAGTCTAACTCAAATCCCTTTTGATGGGGATGGGAAACCCAATAAAGGCTCTCAGGGCTGACTTTGCTGTCTTCCAGGGAATGTGCTGCACCCGTCAGAACAGCTGCATTCTACAGTGAAACAGGGAGACAACAGCTCCCTAGCAAACTGAGGCAAACTTAAAGCATCTCCTGCCTCAGAGGTGCACAATGTTTCACCACTCTTAGCTGTATGAATGTTTTGCAGAACAACCAACCCAGTCAGTCACATAACATTAGGTTTTCACCTCCAATTCAGCTAAATGCATTATTAAATGTATAGTGTCAGATAGAAAAACTCTCAGTGGCTGATCTAACAGAATTGCTGACACACGGTATTCCTCACCATAGGAAGCATTTGGAAAATGTACAAAGTCCTGCTGACTGTTTGCCTCTAAAATACTTATGTATAATTTTTTCTCCTACACTTATTAAGAAATGCAATAATAAACAGAAGTGCAGTCTTTTTTTTCAAAAGATATTTTTCATATTTGTTACCTGGAGTGAAGATTAGAGTCATTGGCCAAGTGACTGGTATGAAAATATAACTTTTTTTTTCCCCACCAGTACTCACTCTCTGCATTCCTTCTTCATTCACACAAACTCTCTGGAAAAGCTGTTTAAATATTTTGCTCAACGTAAACGCAAAAAATCTGACAGCTCCTAATTGCATACTGTGGCCCATCTCATCCAAGATTTCCATGGCTTCTTCTTGAATAATATCGGGTGATTCTCCCATCTCTCTTGCTAACTATAGAGAAACAAAACAAAATAGCAGTCAGATGGTTTTCCCTTCTCTTCACCCATGCACACCATTCTATGTGCCATAACAATTAAGGCAGAGCTATTGCAATAGTCAGCAAGATTTTACTTTATGTGATAGGTATGTATCTAATCATAGAGAATCTCTTCAGTTTCAGACAACAAGAGAAAGACAAGCTAGAGCTGTTCAAAATCAAGAATGAGCTTAGGTGCCAATGGCAGGGGAGAGAGTGTGCAACAATCCGCACACACCCCCCCCCCCCCGCCCGAAAACACTATCTGAATGTTTTCCCTTGTAACATCTTCAGAGGAGATTTAAGTTCAAATAACATTTCCTGTATCATTGATCTGAAGAAGGCCGTCTGCAATTTTGACTAGTAAAATGAAACTTACGTTTGCAGAGATATTCACAATAAATCTCTGAAGTGCACTTGCATTAGATTTTAAGATTTGGCTGAAGAACCTTAGCCCTATCATGCTTCAATTTCTTTGTAATGTATTACTTTGGCAATGGCTAGCTGAAACGCATGCAAAGCACTGTTTCTACCAACTTTGCATCTCAATGATCTTTTTCCTGTTGCTATGCGCATTCGCTTTAGATGTTTCTTAAAAAACAGATTTAAACAATGGTCATCATTCCTATTTGATCCATTGAAGCTAGAAATACTTAATTGAAAAGTTAACTGTTACAAAATGACTAACATGCCTTGTACTGAACACAGAAGAGGAAAGAGGAGGAATGGCAGAAGAAAAAAAAAAAGCAGCAGTTCAGAAAAAACATCACACCAATTTCTTTCTGTCAAATCCTATGTAAAATACTTATTTTCAGTAAATGTTTTAGTGTTTCTGAAGTTGAAAGATTCATTTTTTTAAATTTCATATTACTTTGCAATTCATGATGGCAACAGCACTACTTGGTAGGACATGGTTTAATTTGTCACATCGTAACAGGTTTTGATATATCATGGGTAACATTGACCATTAAAAAAAAAAAAGAGAAAAATGTTATGGTAGCCACTCACTCAGGACTAATCAAGACATCTTATATAGTTCTACTGACCTGGAATTATTTTTCATGAATACTGAAAATAGTTACTCTGATAACTAACACACACTCTTATTTCAACACAATGTAAAATATGAGCCAGTTTGACTATAAAGTATTTTATTCATTACAAAGTAGTAGCTGCCCTTCATTTTAAAGCAAAAATACGGTTACATCTTAGACAATGTTTCTAACTCAAAGAATTCTCTGTGAAATTTAATGCTCATTTTAGAGAAAGTAGCATTTATAACTGATTCATAAATACATCATTAGCCTATAAAATTCCTACAAGACATCTTCAAAGCACAAAAAGTCTACTAAGAAGGAGAGTGCTTCCATCTTTCACAATCCTGATCTGTAGTGAGGACTATGGAGGAGAGGGAAAAAAAAAAACAGTCAAACACATATGCACATTAAGTAAGTTAGATGGTGAAGTGTCATATATGCAAAATCAAAACATGATTTAATGAATGAGCTATCTAACAGCTTTAGTGGTAACTCCATGGTAAATCAGTATCTGTTTATCTGTTTTTGCTGCCAAAAGAGTATGGCTCTCGACTTACTGATTTATTGGACCATCTTTCTAAACTTCAGCTATCATGTTTGACAAGGTCAGCAATAATCTTTTTTTCCCTGCTGTCACACAAAGCTTGGCTGTGTTCAAAGTACCTCATCTTACAGCTCAATGTCCAGACTCACCTGCTTGATAACATATTGAACTTGCTCTGACTGGAGAACAGCATTTTTAATAGCATTTGGCTTGCAAGGTGAAAGTCCCTTGTAGATCACAGGAGTGTAACATTTCATTGTATCTCAAGTTGCTGGACAATCGCCTTTCCTCCAAGATATCTTCAAACTCATCTCTTTTCTTTGACATGAGCTCCTTCTGCTGGGAACACACAAATAAAGAATGAGACACTGTCTCGAGCCATTCAGTGGTCTGCTTGGCTACAGTACCAAAATAACGGCATGCAATAGTTTTGCAATGTTTGGGGTTTTTTTTAGCTTTCTATAGTGTCTGCATTCCACACCCTGAATGCATGAACAAAATATTACCTGTGTAGAACAATGCTACAGAAAGAAACTAAAAAGAAAAGGAAAAAAAAAAAAAAACAAAACAAAACAACAAAAAACCCCAACCCTTTTGAAATCACAAAGATCCCCAAATCACCCTATGCCACGTTACTTAATTCTGCCCAAGAGGAAGAAGTTGAGAGAACACCTGGGCTTTGAAAGCTAAAGTGCCTTGCCTCAAGCCTCTCTATGATTAATAGGTATTAACTAAACCACCTTTGATTCCAACTCTCATAGCTGCATGAAGACAACGCCATAATGACATTATAAAAACACAATCATCAACACAAAAAAATAATCCCTGTTACTTCCAGTTGCATCCGGCACTGTAGTGATTTGTGCTGGCTTTCACCAGGCTTGGACATAAGGTACATAAACCACAGTCAGACAGGAACAAAAAACAAAAACAAAACAATTATCAGCCATGTGAAGATAAAAATGTTATATGCTGCACACGTAGGTAAAAAGAGAGCACAGCCTCTGAGTAACCAACACCACTGCTAGGCAGGAAAACAAACAGGTACATCAAGAACTAATTGGGGATTGTAAGAACTATGAACTAAGGGTATTGTTTATTGAAATTTATGTTAAGCTCAATGTAAAGGTTAGGCGGCAAAAGACAAAAAACTGCTTATGCAAATAGCTGCCAGACACCGCTTGTGTGAGACAAGATAACCTGTGAGACAAGATGACCGCGTGAGATAAGATAACCGCAATTGCTTACACAAACCAGATACTTGTGCAAGCAGAAGGGGTACTGATCAAAGACAACCACGAATGTAAAAATGTATAAAAAGGAACTGTTTGAACTGATCAGTACGGCAGTTGGCGGAGCGCAGACTCCCCTGCCGTCCAGCGCTGTCTTTGCTCATATTCTACTTGCTATAATTAATAAAATTATAATTGGATTATGATCCATTGTGGTCTCAATTTATAACAATTTTGGTGCCGTGACTCGGATAAGGAACGGTGGGCTTCTGTCCTCCGGGGAGGCGCCCCGCGGCAATCCGCGGCCCCGCGACTGATAGCCCACCCCATCCTTACCGACGAACCTAAATTCTAGAATAATGAGCAAAGGAGAAACCGGTAAAATCCCATAAAAATTCTGTGCACGGGAGTCCGGACGAAGACGCAGGACGTAAGTATATTGCGAATTTGTTCGCGGGTTTACCGTTCGGGCGGGATTGGGTTTCCTGGATTATAACGAATGAGAGGTTCGATATACTGAACCAAGCGAGTGCGGACCCTTAAGTACTGCGTTTCCCATTTCCCGCGAGGGACTGGGCCAGGAACAAGGGGAGCAAGTGAGTGTGTGTTTGTGGATAATCCAGAAGATGGGGGCGAAGGGCAGCAAGCCTTCGACTCCCATGGGAAGGGTACCCACTGTACCTAAGAATACCCCTCTGGCATATATCTTAGACAATTGGAGATATTTCCCTGGAACACTAGGGAAAGATAAGCAGAAAATGATAGAATATTGTACTAAGATATGGGGAGGGAAGAAGATTTCTAAAAATGTCTTTTGGCCAGTCTGCGGGTCAGAAGAAGATTGGATAAAGGCAACAATTAAATCTCTGGGTTAATAATAAAAAACCCCTTAACCCGAAGAAAGTCAGTATGCGGGAGTGGCTAAAAAGACGGGAGCTAGACTTTACCCGCTGAATGAAATAAAAACTAAACAAAAGAAAAAGAAGGAAGGGTTAGACGAAACCCTTCTAACCCCCCCTCCTTACATTTCCCCTCCTGCTCCCACAGCCCCTCCAGAGGTCCCCAGAGCGCCCACTCCCCCACCGGAGTCGGAACAAGAGTCTCCCCCTCCTCCTAGACGTGTAACTAGAAGCCAAAAAGGGGCAGCTCAGATGTACCCCCTAAGGGAAATACCCATGGGGGGACCTCAACCCGTGATCGGATATATTTCCGTACCCCTAAACTCGGCTGACCTAGAGATTTTAAAAGAACCGAGATGGGAAACTTAATTGAGGACCCACTCGGAGTGGCAGAAAGATTAAATCAATTTTTTGGACCAAACCTTTATACTTGGGATGAGATGCAATCTATCCTTGGTCAATTATTTACTACCGAGGAAAGAGATATGATTAGACGAGCAGGAATGAGACTGTGGGATGCTCAACATGCCCAGGGACCTCAAGCGGATATTAAATGGCCACTCCAAAGACCTAATAGGGATAATCAGGATCCGGTGCATAGAACTCATATGCAGGACCTGAGAACTATAGTAATTCAGGGAATTAGAGAAGCAGTACCCTGTGGCCAGAATATTAATAAAGCATTTAATGAAATGCAAAAGAAAGATGAGAGCCCTACTGAGTGGCTGGAACGACTGAGGAAAGCCCTTCAGCTGTATTCTGGGGTAAATCCAGACGACCCTTTAGGGCAAGCACTCCTCAAAACTCAGTTTGTGGCAAAATCATGGGAAGATATCAGAAAGAAGATTGAAAAGTTAGAAGACTGGCAGAATAGAGGGTTGGATGAATTATTGAGAGAAGCTCAGAAAGTCTATGTAAGGCGAGAGAAGAGAGCAGCAAGCGACAAGTAAAAATGATGGTAGCAGCGGTCAGAGAGGATCGTAAAGGACGAACTGGTGAACACAGATCTGCTGGAACGAAACAAGGGAACGTAGTAGTAAAGAAGGAACAGAGATGTTGTTTTTACTGTGGAAAGAAGGGACATATAAAGAAGAATTGCAGAGAAAGGATCAGGGATGAGGAAATATTGAAAACGGAATAGGAGAGCCAGGGGCTCTATATCTTAGGGGACCGGAGTCATCATGAGCCCTTGATAAAATTAAAAATAGGTCCCCATAAACAAGAGTTCACCTTTTTAGTAGACACTGGGGCTGAAAAATCGACTATTAAACAAATACCTGAGGGATGTAAAATTTCCCCGGAAAAAGTACAAGTAATTGGGGCAAAAGGAGAACCATTTAAAGTAAACAAAATCAAAAATGTGGTATTCGAAACTGAAAATAAATTTGGAATGGGTGAACTCTTGCTCGTCCCTGAAGCAGAATTTAATCTGCTAGGACGAGATTTAATTGTTGAATTACAATTAGAAATTAAAGTGAAAAATCAAGAGCTAACAGTGTCTACTTATCCTTTGACCGTGGATGAGCAAAAACAAATTAACCCCGATGTCTGGTACTCTCCGGACACAATTAGTAGACTGGAAATCCCACCGATTAAAATCCAAGTTTCTGAACCCCACATACCTGTGAGGGTAAAGCAATATCCCATTTCCCTAGACGGACGGAGAGGATTAAAACCAGAAATTGATCGATTATTAGCACAAGGAATCTTAGAGCCTTGTATGTCACCCTTTAACACCCCCATTCTGCCTGTAAAGAAACCAAATGGGAAATATCGGCTCGTACATGATTTAAGGGAAATCGTTTAAGGGAGCACGGGGCGGCTAGGGTTAATCCCTTGCGGGGAAGTCCCAGCGGCAGGAATTCAAGGGGGGATGGGATTTGTGGATGTGCCGCTCACTAATGTAGAAGTGAGGGCGTATAAGAATGAATTTAGGAGGTTATTAGAGGACCCTGTGGGGCTGTCAGAGAAGACTGATCAATTTTTGGGACCCAGTATATATATACATGGGAGGAGATGCAGTCGATTACGGGAATTTTTTTCTCTCCTGAAGAAAGACAGATGATCAGAACGGTTGGAATGTGGATATGGGAGAGAGAAAATCAGCAGGGGATACCCGGGGAAAGGAAACTCCCTGTAACCCCTCTGCAGTGGAATCAGAATGAACAAGAGCGGAGGAGAGATATGAGTGACTCTAGGTCATTATAATAAGTCTGGAGGAACTCCTGAGAGAAGCACAGAAAGTAGATATTAGGAAGGATGAAGAAGAGGCTAAAACTAAAGCTAAAACTATGATAACTGCACAAGAAGCTGTTAGAAACAAACACAAGGAATCTCAGACGGAAATCACAAATTTGAAACAGGCAAGGGAATGAAAGGGAAGGCGGAACCAAGAGGCACCACTGGCTAGGGAAATCACAAGGGAATGTTTTCATTGTGGGAAGGGGGGGCATTATAAACAAGAATGCCCCCAGAGAATACGGGACCTGTTGGTGTTTGAAGTAACCCAACAGGATGAGGGTGGTAATCACTAGGGGTGTCAGGGACTCTACCTCCTGGGGGATATACCAACAGAAGAGCCCTTGATAAATTTGAAATTAAGACCCCAGGAGGAAGATTATGTAAAAGATACAACTTGGGCTGTAGGGGCTAAAGGTGAAGGGGTTTTTGGTCCCAGTTATAAAGAATGTGTTAATACAAGGGGAAGATCAATATGCTGTTAATGATTTGTTGTTAATGCCAGGGGTAGGATGTAATTTGCTAGGTAGAGATTTACAAGTGCAATTAGGAATAGGTGTGGTGCTGGGTGAAGGAAAACTAGTGGTTAAATTACTAGAATTATGGGAGGAGAATCGGGGAGGATATTTAGGAACCAGAGCATAACTGTTTGGATTTTATAAATTATCAAACGAAAATAAGAGAAGATCTGTTAAATAAACCTTTGCCCTATAGAGAAAAACTATTTATTGATGGGTCCTCTCGATGCCTAGAAGGAAAAATATTGGGTTATGTAATTATCGAGAGGCAGAAGATGGAAGTGTTTGAAAAGGGGAAATTACCTGCTGGGTGGTCAGCACAAGTCTGTGAACTCTATGCCCTAAAACAGACATTGGTATATTTGAGAGATA